CTGTGAAGTTTGGATGAAATCGGCTTAGTGGTTTATGAGGAGATAATACAAAAATATTGAAAAAGCACTCTTAAGTTTTAACATAATCTTTTAACCTTATTTCAACCACTTTTAAGTCAACACTAACCAGTACTAGTGCAATAAAAGGAAACATGGTTGTGACCTGAGTAGGGCTCAAATCCACAACCTGCAAGCTGTAAGGCAGATACCTCAACCAATAAGCCACCACTCTCCCTTTGACATGGACCTTAGGAAATCAACATTAAAGGGAGACAACCACAAAACGGAGACAACAACAAATAACAACTTTTAAATCATACTATTGTTATTCCAAGAACACCCTCCATGCACACATTCAAGAAGAACTCCCGATCTTCTGCCTTGTCGAACAGATGTTTCAGTTTTTTATGGTTAAGAAATTTATGAACTTTGACCCCCTGTGACAGGAACAGGTCTATGAACTCTTCACGGTCCTTCTGTAACAAGGCCTTCTCAAACATCTTCTTGTCTATCTGTAGTGAGAGATATACATCATGTATATTAACAATCGCCTCTGAACACCAAAAAGAAACAATGGACAGTATTTTTTTGTTGTTTTCTTATGTTTGTTGAAAACAGTGTCAGTAACAGAGTGTATGTTCAGTGTTAAACATACTTTGCTCAGCCAAATGTTTGCATATACATGTAGATCTAATATGTTAAACTTAAAATGAATAGAAAAATTTTTACTTTTTTTTTTTTTTAAAAAATCAAATATTTTTAAGATTTTGTTCAATCATTCAAAACTATGCCACTTCATCTTCATAAATCTTATACTAGCCCAGACTTAACCAAATATTAATTCACTAAAATTACTTAATTCAATTTCACAGCTCTCTGAACAATTAATGTAGAACAGAACAGAACAGAATAGAACAGAATATTTATATTGACTTAAGCATACACAGCTTATCATCAATCATGAAAATATAATACATGTATAAGTACATTCAATTGCATGCAAATGAAAATGGCAAAAATTGTAATGAGTAATATCAGATTTTTTTTCTTACCCTAACTTTCGTGAAATCTTGTTGAAAAATTTCCCATGCGAGATCAGGTCTGTTCCAGTCAATGGTCAGCTGAAGGTCATTCTGCAGCTGTTCCATCTGACCTTTACCATCAGGTTTCTCAGCTGTAAATGTAAACAAAACATTCTCAAAATTACCCCATTGAGTGTCACATTATACAACCCAATTATAAAATATAGAAATGACACGAAAACAATGGCCAAAATAAGTTAATCGCAAAAAAAACCAATGGCCGCAAGGAGAACATACAATCAAATTTAAAGACTAAGCAAACTGAAAGAAGTCTTTGTGCAAAAACCCCGAATTCAGCAACCACTTCGACACTGACCTGGTTTTAAGACAAGTATATGAAATCCCTACTGACCAGGCGGGCGGAATCAAGAAAACAAATATTTGGATGCTGGAGTAGATTTCTTTTTTCTCAATACTGAACTTGCACTTTCCTTTTTGTCCTTCACATCACAAGAACACCAGAGACAGCATTAAATCTCAAGTCAAGGGAAAAGTAACGCTTTTTTGACTCTTCAACATACACCAAGATTTAAAGCAAATGAGCATATACACTATGTTAACCCTTGACCTCCTGGAACAGGAAGTGTTTAGCCTTTGCCACTTATATTGCTAGGCCACCCTGTTCATCCCTGCAACATGGCCAGGCTCTATACTGTTGATAAGTCAATGTTTGAATTTTTGATATTGAAATCTCATAAACTTTAAATGGACTGTTCTAAATTCATAGCACAGCAACTCTTTAAAGCAGATTGAGGCCTCATATGATCATCTTAGTGCAAGAAGTGGTTAACTTCAATTAAATTTAGAAGGGCTTAACCTGTTACTGGACTAAGGTGACGATATATTTGGAATAACAGCAATTCACCCTCTAAGACTACCTATCGGTCTTTTTATTTATTATATATGTGTATTAAAGGTCACTTTATAACAGCATATACAAATATAATATAAATGTACATTCTCAAGTTAACAATTTTTTGAGTGACAATATTGTACAGAAAGATTAAACTTTTACACAATTCAAATAGCAACTATATGTTAGTAACAAATCACTTTAAATTGATTCTTACATTCAATCACATACTTTGATTAAATTTATTTTACAAATCAAAACAAGACCAAATCAAAACAAGACCACTGAATGCAGTGTTTAAGCTCCTCTGTAAAAAATTCTAATTAAAAGGCTTGCATGTTGAAAATTCTGAGTAAAATGGCTTGTCTGTTAAAAAGGGGCTTAACTCCAAACTTGTTCAAAATTCAATCCACATTGGAATGAGACAAATGGTGTTTAAACGGTTGGCACTAGAAAATGTTGTATTTTAACGAAAATGTATACAATTTATATACAGAAAGAACAAATCGCCGGTCCAAACAAATGCACCTTGTCTAACAACTTCACCTTGTCATGATAAGCAAGAGTTTCAAGTTCTATGGTAAAATGTTTGAAGAATGGGATACATTAAAACTTTTTGCAGGGCAAGTAACCACGACAACTATGACGAAAATGCAACAGTGATCATAATAACTCAACCTTTTCTTTGAAACAGTATAGAAGAATAGATTTTTTTCCCTTCCCAATAACTTGTAAGTACAAATCTTTGAATCACTTTCTAACTTACATTTAAACAATGCTCGTAGAATATACTTGTCCAAGTCTCTCATACTCCACCCCCAACCCTTCATATTCACAATGGTCATGAAAGAATGATCGCCGTCTCCCTGTGTAAAAGTAAAACATGAAAATACATATCACTTCATGATTATGTACACTTTTTTAAGGTTATAAATATTTATAGTATTCTGTATAATACTGGGTTTGTTTAGTTGGTTTTTAAGTAACAACAACAAAGTAGAGGTCATATGGTAGCTTTAAAGCTTTACGGGTTGAAGAAGTCCTCAGTTGCCCTTCTACATGTGTAGAACTACCAACGTTCCATAACGATACAGAGATATTTCAGGGCACGAACCCAACTGACTATAAAATATATCAGGAATCATAATAAGGAATATTTGCAGTGATCTTTTTCCCCTATATTTTACAGTCAAATAAAGGGCTGTTTCCTTTAAGATATTTAGCGTGGTGAGGAAAGTTCACAAAAGATTTGCCATTCCATTTCATTATAGCTAATGTACAAACTCAATGAAACCATGCCAGTGACTTACAACTACAGTAAAACTTCTATGTGTTGAACTTTGATTAGTCGATTTTCTTGTTTGTAACTCGTTTTTAAATATTGACAACTCTAAATTTTGTCCTTACATTGACACATATTCATGAGTCGAAGTCTCAATGCGTCAAAGCTTTTATGCAAGTCCCTTCAACTTCGACTGACCTAAGTTCTACTTTTTTTCCTTTCATTGACCTTGACTGATCCAGGTATTATATTACCTTTGTAGTACCTTAATAATCGGAATTCTTTTCAGTCACAAACAAAATCTCATACCTCATTGGCCATCTTCACACACTGGATAATCTTATCTCTAAGGACGAACTTATCTAAATCATTCTCCTCCATGAACGAGCCATACATTCGTGTAATCATTTTGATAACTTCTGGTTTTAGGAAATGTTCCTCGTAATCTGGGTCCGAGTCGGCCCTGCAAGAATCACGATAAATCAAAATGTTCCATCTGCACATTTCTAAGTCAGCAAATAAAGTAAGAACGGATTAATCTTCACATAAAAAATTTAAGGGTCTTCATTGAGGTTTTTACACATGACTGGACTGGGAATAATTTTTTCTAGATTAATGTACCATTTGATGTAGGTCTACACAAATAACTTGTGTGCAAAAATTTCAGATTACTCCCTAACTCTAGACTAAATTTTTTAATTGTGAAAAATGATCAAAAATAGATTCACACTACTTTAATTATCATGATGTTTATATAGTTTTGAATACACAACTATTGTCAATTTATTAAGATATCTCACTTTGTTCCCTAAAGAAATGAAATATGATGTATAATAAATTCATTATAAATTTTCAGGAGAGGTTATATGACCATATATAAATGGTTTTATACAATATTACCATTTATATAGGGCCATTTAACCTGTCAAAAATCTTTATAACTTATAATATAACAAAATCAACAGAAAACTCTGGTCTGCTTACTTCTCCTGAATTTCCTCATGCACAAATCCAATCATATCAGCCAGACCACCGCTACCTTTAAGGATTACTACAGGCATCTTGTTTTGTATATAGAACAAAACATGATCAATATTTTTGGGTGAGCCCTGAACCAGCAACCCAACGACCGGAATGAAATTATCAAGATCTATCTGTTTCTTCTCTACATTATCTGTCTCCGAGTCAGAACCTGAAACAAACAAACAGATATAGTAGGATGAATATCTACGATCACAATTCTTCATAAAACTAAGTATGTGTTTAAAAGACATACAGTTGAACTTCTATGAGTCGAACTTCGATTAGTCGATTTTCTCGATGTGTCGAAGTAAAATGAAAGTCCCGATTTTGTCCCTTATATATTCCTTATAAAAACCTATTGAGTCGAGATTTTATGTGTCGAATTTTTCGATGTGTCGAAGTTTTTTCGCGGACCGTATAGAATAAATCTAGTACAATTTACCACAAATAAGTCGAAGTCCTTCGATTATTTTGACACATTCGATCTCGAGACATTTTTCACACCTTTTCTGTCCTTGTAGACAATTTCCGACTAACTTTAGGGACAGGTGTTAATTATAACAGCCGAGTGTTCAAACAGCCTTTGAATGTGTTTAAATGTGTGAAAAAATGCTTTAATCTTTACTATTTTTATTGCCGTAGCGGTATTTGAAAGTACATGTAAACAATAAGAACTATCATTTGAGTGCTCCCGTGACCCGGTGTCGCGTGATAATCACACGCGAAATATTTACTATAAGCTGGCTTAGTTATTGCCCTTTCGTATTGTTACGCCTTTTGTAACTTCATAATACGTCAGCAGGTGTACAAAATCATTACCCGTAAAAAGTTACTTAATATGTCATATTTATCATTGTATAATGTAAAATATCAGATTAATGAATGAAAGAAAAGCATGAAATAGGGTTAAGTTATAAATCTTATAATTAGGGCTAGTCACGGGTTGAAATTTTGTCATGAAATTCAGACCGGTTCATGAGTCGAAGTCCTGATGTGTCGAAGTTTTTACGCATGTCCCTCCAACTTCGACTTACCGAAGTTCTACTGTATAATGTAATAGAGCATGTTGTATGTGAAGAACTGATTATTGGAATGGCAAACCAGTTAAAATATTTATCAATAAAATATTTTCAGAAATATCAAAATAATTCTGTTAGACAGAAAATTCAAAGCTGCAGAAATTTACAGGACTTTAGAAAAAATAATAACTCTGATCTGATATCACAGTAAAATTGTTTACCTTAATTGGAAATTACATATGAAATATACATGACCTTTTGATGTTGAAGTTGCAAAAACAAACTATTATGGCCACTAAATAAAATACAGTTACTTCCCTTTAACCATATTTACCACAGACTTTAGTTTTTCATGGTACAAACAGCAACTTGTACTATACACGTTGGTATGGCACAGCTTTTTTCTTATCAGTAATCAAGGAAAGTAACTGCATAACAAACATAACATTTTCAAGTTTATCAAACTTCCCATCAGTACAAAATATGGATGAATTTGTGTAAAACTGACAATGGAAGGTAAATGTCATAATGTGCATTTTTCTGCAAGTGACATTTTTTTCTTAAACAAATTTTGTGAAGAGCTCAGATGTTATAAAGTTAAAAAAGATTAACTTTCCTCCTTTTTCTTCATATGTGCAATTCATCAATGTTACGAACCGAATCATAACTCAAGATGACTTTATTATTATAACACCCTTAACATAGAAAATAATTCTCTGTGAATGATAAAACATTTTCAAATTTGTTTCACAAGATCCTGATATTTTAGAAAAAAATCTACAATAGATAATATATTCTAGACAAACCTATACTCATGAGTCTGAATGCCCGACGCCTTTTCACAACTTTATGGCTGAACTGTTGCTCGATCATGCATCTTAAATTGCCAGCATTAAATTCTCTACCATCTTCCTCGGCGATGATGAAATGCGTATGCTCCGGATTCAATTCATATATGTTAGCATGAGACTTTCCTCCGTAGTTGGTGATCTGCACACCTTCCTATCATAAGCAAACAATATACCTATCAACATGATATTTTTAATTTAGTCAAATTGTGACACTGTTATGATAATTATTTTGGCAATTTTCTTGGTTAACTAGCTGTGCAAGACCTCAAAAGTTCCTCTGTCAATTATTTAAGAAATCAGCTTGAGACAGTATTACCAGCACCAGTGAATTAGCTCATTTTGTAGAGCGTTAGACTGTGAATAAGGCAACCCGGGTTTGATTCCCGACAGTGCAGATCACATCACGGCTACATAACCTACTAATGGGATCAGTACAGACCTAGATCATCCAGCACATCCCTGATGTGTGATCATGTTCTGCACTGATCGTTATTCAGTCAGTTCAAATTTTGAAAACTTACACTAGGAATGATAACTGGCTCTGACTGCCTAAATTGAAAGATGGACTAGTCAATATGGATACTTTGCATTGTAAGTGTTAATTTTACTTAAGATATCAATCCTACTATTTGCTGAGAACTTCTTACGTACACTGAAAGTGACAATTTATAGAGCATACAAAAAAACACATTTTTTACAATTAAAGATGAATCAAGTCTTACTGTCCCATCAAAGTACATTCCATACGGCACTAAGTCTTTTGGCACAATGCCAATGGCTGTGAGTCGCCTGGTACCATGCTCCGAGCTAGTTAGTAAAGGGTTTGCAATAAGGCGTGTGTTCTGCTGCTCTATGTTGTACTCTTTTATCGCGTCACCGATCACTTTTGGTATACCAGCGTTTATACCGTTAGTAATAATCCACATGTCTGTTGTGTTTGCAGCCTGCAAATAAAATTTCAATAAATAATTTTCACAATTATCAAACACACTATATCTGTTTGACTTTTGACCCTGTGACCCCTAAACTCATAAGGTGCATGCACCTGCCAAGTTTGGCAGCTGTAGATGGAAGGACTTCTATATGTATTGGTCAACATTTAAGATTCTTAACAGACAGACAGACAAACACTGATCAAAAACATTTTACCCCATCCTATTGATCAAGAGTTATAAATATATTCTAACTGAACAGTGGTGGTTAAGAAGTATGCATCAGTAAATTTATTTATACATTTAAATAAAATTATTATATCTTGATAAAGATTTTTCCTTTCAAGAAATTCTATAGAAAAAATAGCAAAAATTTAACAGTCAGCACCCAGTATATACTACTTTATGCTATATAGGAAATATACCAATCATGACCCAAGTTTATACCACAGTCCCTGGATGAAATAATCAATGTTTATCACATGAAACAATCAAACCAAAAAATATCTAATGTAAATACTCATTCACCTAAGGCGTAAAAAACCAATAACACACAATCTTTTGTTATGATAAGCTCATCACAGACATTTACTTGACATAAACCTATTTTTATCTGATCATAGATCTCGTCATCTGTAACAGTTTCTCCTCATTTACAATTACAAAATCTCGGCTAAAAAAATCAACTTCTTCATTGACAGAGCACAATTTACAGGCACATCCTTCTTAATTAAATAATTTACAAAATGTAAATATATGAATATAACTGTCACCCATTGTGCCCTCAATTTGTGTTAAAAAATTTAAGCCACCTTCAGTTTTTCTAAAGGTTAAATGTTACTTTTAGATGAATCTTTTCATATAATTGTCAAATCAAAAGAATTAAGGTGGGAATGAAAATTGCCATCGATAAAATACATAAACAATAAGGCAACCCCAAGGTACCTCTAATCCTGTCCACTCTCTATATGTAAACTAGTAACGAGGACACTTTGTTTCCCAATCTTCTATTTTTAGAAATGAATGCCACTGGCATGTTATATTTAATACTTTCTGGACGCTGTTCTGAAGATGGCTTAACAGTGATATGATGCATTTTTCCAAGATAAAATTACTAAAATACTTAGTTTGAAACAACACGGAATTGTTTTTCAAACAAAAAATAAAAGCTGAATGCCACTTTAATGTAAATAGAACCTTTAATATTCCTTTTTGGAAGTCATCCTTCAGTCGCTGACTTTTCCATGGTTTATAACTTTCCTCTGACGATATCACAGACAGGACAATGTTAGGATTCTTTTTTCCCCAGTATCTTGACATAAACTCTGTCACTGCCGGCATCTCCGTGTCGTAACCTACACACAGGTAATGCTTCTTGGGCTATAATGTAATAAGTATGATACAAAATAACTGTCAATTTTTAAACTTTGATAGTTTTGTAACACTTTATACTTGTCTTTACAATATTATCTTCTTCATATTTTACTAGTACTTTTATTAGTACATGTACTTTTAAAATATTTGCATATTTCATTAAAACAAGGGCCATCAGTGATCACATGTGTCACCTCATGAAAGCCATAACTCAGCAAAAAGTCATTCAACCTAAAAACCTGTGTAATATGCACAAGAATTTGAGCCACCGATCAATCCTGTAAAGTTTCATTGAAATTGCATTAGTGGTATAACAGTTGTGTAGAGGCGACACAAAAAATCTCTAAAATTGATAATGGACAGTTCTAAAAATAGAAGCTGGGCAAGTCCATAGGTTAAAATGTAAAAGCTAATTATCTTATGACCTTGACACACCAGAATTATAATGTTAGTAATAATTATCTTCATCAAACAAACAGACTATATGGCACCACTTTACATTTTTAGCATTGTATATTTAATAAGAGAGTGTTATACATAAATCATGTTAGATTTTCATCATGTAAAAAAACTTACAATAATCTTACAATAATAATAACCTGAACATCACCAGTTTTATACAATGGACTTTTCCAGCTGTGAATTTTGAAACAGTCCATAAGTAATTAAAGGGATTTCAATATAAAGATAATTAAAATTAGGCTACCATCAGTGAAGAACCTTGATCGAGAGACAGAATTATGGATGTTGCAGGCTGCCCCAACTTTTTCAAGGTGTAATATACTTTTTTCTTGCATATCAGACTGGCGTTTCCGTGAGTTTTACCCATGCCGGAAATTTCATCTGGCATGGGGGGTGCCAGATGAGTCGCGTGCCAAACAACAACGTCATTTTAGCGCACTTTATGAATGAACCGGGTTAAAATGACGTTTTAGAAGGGAAAAATGTGCTTAAGATGACGTCATTTCGCCGTTGTTATTTAAGTTGTAAGTTCATACGCCATTGTAAAAAAATAGTTATGGATGAAATGACTTTAATTTCCATGTACATATATCATTTTGAGGTAAACCATTTTAAATATGAAATAATATGGCAGAATATGCAAGAAAAAATATCTGACATATGTTTGCGGTTCGGATCGGAATATCCGTCCCTCGGGAACCCGCCCATGGGCGGGTCCCCTCGGGACGGATATTCCAGTCCGAACCGCAACATATGACAGATATTATTAACCTTTCCCTTGCTGTTAACTATAAGAATCTTACACTGGCTGCCGGTACAGACCGGAATATCTAGCTCTAGGGTAATTGTTTACGGTGGTAACAAGGCTCTGCCGAGTTTCCGCTAAACAGTTACCCGAGAGCTAGATATTCCCATCTGTTACAACAGCCGATGTTTGATTCTTTTTCTTGCATATTACATGTCAATTGTTTTCGGAACAGAAATTATGAAAACTGATATTCTCATTACGCACTTTTTTCTTATAGTAGCGTATGAACTTACAACTTCATTCATAACGGACAAATGACGTCATCCTAAGAACGCGATTCATCCATAAAAGGCGCGCCTTAATGATGTTATGTAAAGCTTGGACTTGTCTTACATGGGGGGTGTAAGACAGAGTTTTCTAGCACCGGTGTAAACGGTAGATAATCCTGTCTGAGATGCAAGAAAATTGTATATTATACCCGTGCTGCCAACCAAGACCAGGATCAGCCAGCACATCCGAGCCATGTGATTATAGTCGGCACTGACAGCTTGTCATTCAGTCAGTACATATTTTAACCCTGAACATGCTGAATATTTTAAATGGACTTGTCACACTTCAATTTTTGGGACTGTCCATTATCAATTTTAGGGATATCAATTTGAATATTTAAGTTTGTCAGCCAACATTGGCAAAGGCTATTGTGGTTCCTAAAAACATTTTCTCTGATTTTGTCAAACTTGAAGAGGGACATGTCCATTTCAGATATTTCCCATGGAAAGCATCAATACTGATTCACATCATTTATTGTTTAAAATGCTTGAGCAATTTTAATATTTTAGTCACATATTTTCATGAAAGATTTCAATTCCTTTTTTGTAATTCTTTCCTAATTGAATTCAAATCAACAAATCTTTAATGAAAGGAAAAGTTTAACGTACCTCATAAATTAGGTCAACAGTATCTTTCACAAATCGGATGTTACCACACTGTAACGGGGCATGCTCAAATATAGCACTGTCCTGAGTATTGACTGAAAAGTTGGACTGGATGGTTCTCTGGTTTTCCTCTACAGTGAGATAGTCAATGGCACAACCAGGAACACCGCCCTCATTAACCGAGCCAATAGAATCCTTTCTTTCAAATTCTGATAACAAATAAATTGTTAATTTACATATATATTGTCCTGCATTTCTGAGGTGGAAATGTTGTTTAGGCTTGATTTTTGATGGCCTGAAGAGGTCACAATACTTAACCTTACCTGCTTCCAAAGCAAGGAGTCACAGGTTCAAGCTCTTTTGGGTGTTAAATTATTGCCTCTTCACATGCCACTTGAACATACTTTAGTATACGGTAGTCCAAGAAACAGACCTGAGTGTGGTTTAAATAAACATGCAGCTTTTGTCTAAATGGAGGTTTATAGATTTTCATCCAATTAAAACCATTTTCAACTATGGTACATTGAAAACATTATATCACGACAAAAGAAAATAATTCTGAACACTTTAGAATCTTAGTGAATAAAGTCAATATATTCTATGATGTAAAAGCTTGACAAGTTTTTATTAAATTGAAACTTAGATTATATACCCTCTATTATCTCTCATGAATAGACTCAATCAATAAAATTTATTGTAAGGAATTAGTAACAAGTAAAATGAATCTTAATGAATCAAAGTGAAACTTACGACCAAGTTCAATGGAATCCTGCAACAATGGTTTTTTCTGATCCGCATTTTGTGCCTTTTCATCAATATGGGATAAAGATGTGTCAGACATTTTGAACTGCATTTCTGTTTCAATTAATGACTGACTAGCACTACTTTCACTCTTCGGTGGTGTTCCAGTCTCATTCTTAGGCTTGAATGATACCGACGGTATATTCTGAGCCGGACTGACCGTAAATCGTCCCGAAATTGACTTTTTGTGGTTGGCTGTTGGTGTTGGAATCGACTGCGCTATCGGTGATATAAGAGTATGCGTTGGTAGATGGAAACTGTCATCTCCTTTCTCTAGTAATATTTTTTCAATTGACTCCTCGTGATGAATGGAATAGTTCATGGACGAACACTGTGATGTTTTGTCTATGCCGCTCACTTGGCGGGACACTTTCCTGCCACGAGAGGCATAGCTCTGTGGAGATTCTGGGGCAGCAGACATTCCTATAGATGTACTTGGTGTGGCTGGTCGAGATGTTGCTGCTGATCCAGCTAGACTTCTTAATGATGCACCTGATTCATCTTCAACTGAAAAAGAGAAAATCACATCATTTATTGCATGAGTGCTTCACTTTCACTTCATATGGTCCATCAAATTTGGAACAAGGACATAAAGTAAGGTAAAAGCTGAGAAAGGGAAGTGACAAAAAACAACAAGAAGTCTATTGTTATTTTCAGCCACATAAAGGAAAATAGCGATATATGAAAGCCTTATGGAATGAATGACATCAAAGAGAAAGTACGGTGTCACATAAGACTAGAATCCAAAAATGAAAGCTCGGACGATGAAAAAATGATCCCTATACATGTATGTTGCTACTTCTCAGTATATGTAGTAGCTGTAAGTACCACAAAAAGTACTAAAATGAATCAAAAAATGTGTTGTAACGTTTATTTTAACTAAATTGAATTTCTTTAATTACAAAAAAAAATTTATTTCTTTTTCCATCTAAATCAATTAAGATAAATTTCTTCTTCTCAATATCAGGAATAATCTTAAGACAACAGTTAGTAAATATCCTCTTTTCAACAATATATCACAATGTCTAACATCAACACACATAACATAAACCAATTTAATAACAATCCACACCTTTACCTGTCCAAAAATAAAATCCGTATGATTCATTTGTTTAAATACAATATCTATAACAGTAACTCCTGCACATGCATTATACTGCTATTATGCTATCTCTGAATGTAAACAAACGTTAACCTTGCAATAGCTACCGGTACCTTAATACAAGTTAAATATAGCTATAATGACCTTAATGACCTTAAAACCAACCAACAAGACAATCTACCAATCATGTTATATCAAATTTGTAATTTAGTTTACATTATGTTACTAACATCCTATTTTTTTCAAATACAAGTACAACTGTCCTTACAGATGTTTACTATAATTCAGGTCAATATAGAATTGATTTAATACTAACATCTGGTGTATGGCTCAGGGGGTTATATTAACTGGGATAGCATTTACATGTATACATCCCATGCAAAAAGAGAAAAAAACTGGTTTTTCCAGAATTTTTCTAGCACAAGGTCACACTACCTATAATGATCAGCACATAAATCTTTTAGTCCATGAATTAGGTCAACATTGATTCAAATGCACTTCTTGTTCAGTTTTTGACTTTGAGAAATATTCATCTCAAATGGCTATTATGAATTCAAATAAATAAAGGCGAATTAGTGCTATATCTAATGTATGGATCTTTTTATATATTTAAATCAATATGAGATCTACAGTATCATATAGCAGTACCTGTTACAAATTCATTACAATTATGGTCCAAAATTTACATATTAAATGGCAGAATCAGACTTTACAGTGGTTATGATTTTTTATGTGTTATATATTTTAAGTACAAATTTTAAGACAAAATATTTAGTATGGCAATATGTTTGCCTTATACTGGAAAAACTTTAAAGACACAATATGCAACATGCATATAAAGTACATTATTTGCCTGCAAACACCTCCCCCCACCCCCTCCCCCCCAAAAAAAAAAAACCAACCACAAAACCATGAAATTTTTCTTACCTTAAAGATTGCATTCTCACATTAAAGCTAAAAGGAATTTACCATCCATGTAAGGTTTGCGTGTTAATTTGAATTTAATACATTTCATCACAATTGATTATAATTTTATCAAAATTTAGTTCGGTATGTAAACAAGTGTTTGGGTGGTGTTTTCAGGAAGCTGTTATCTTCTCCAACATCAAGGTCAATCTATTATACAACTTTAAATTTACATAAAATTAACATAATTTATACATAAATAAATAAGTAAACATAGATAAGGGATTGAGCTTTCATTTAATTTTGTTCTTTAAAACATATCATCTAGACGCTAAATCAATGACAAGTTCATGCCAAAAGTTCAGAGCCAGACTATTGTCACCTTGCAATAAATGTCCGTCTGCTAAGCTCGATTCTTAGGATAATCAAGGGGTGGCTGGTTTGATCCTTAGATGAGGGAAAACTTGATCTCAGTCACAAACCATTAGCAGTACCTTTGTAACACCAGTAAAGCTGGAACCATATGACCTATACTCTGTCGGTGTGAGGTAAAACCCAAATGTGATCACACATGATCTTTGCCATCAATATAAAGTCAGGCCACTTTGCCATCAATATAAAGTCAGGCCAGTGTACATTTAAGTGCAGATTGACCAGGCTCTATACAGCTGGTAGCTCAATTTCATGATTATTTTCATATTGAATAACCTTAAACTTGAAATAGACTCTTCCAAGTTCAAAGCAGGGCATGCCCACTAATTACGACCTCAGCAGGTTTAACTGGCTGCTAAATTGTATGATACATATTACTTAGCAGCAGAAAAGTTACTCACATAGGGGCGTAGTCAGCTTTTTTCAACTTGTAGGCACATAAAAGGGGCTCTGGGGCTTAGCCAAAAACAAGTTCAGATTAAAAAGAGCAAAATGCGCGTTCCAAATTATGTTCTAGAAAAAATTATCAAAACAATAATTTTAAACAGATGCATACTTTATTGAGGATAGTAAATCATGCGAACACACTTGATTCGCCTATACGGCTTGAACCCACTACCAGCTCCACTGTCGCCTGTTTTATTGTATTTTTGGGACTTTTGAAAATGTTAATTTCTTGACCAACTTGTAGGCCCATGCCTACATGGCCTAATAGTAGCTACGCCACTGTCACAAGCTATGAGAAAACTGCTTTAATTAGGTTCATCACACTCTGTGTGTTTGCATTTGATCTAGTTATCAGTCAGTTTTTCCATTAATTCTTTCCTAAATAAATTATAGTTCTAATTAAACCAATCTCAGCAGCAATCATGTCATGACTTGCTAAATAAATAACACTTTATAAATGTCATATTGTAATAGAAAAGAACTGCAATTCAAAGGTGAGATACATTTTTTTCTCCAATGAAGTGGTTTCCCCCCCCCCCCCATTTGTTCATGGTACATCTATCAATCAACACACAGTAACATTTGTTATCTCTTTTTTTTTTAAAAATTGCTTCAAAGAAAGCTAACATTTTTCTTTTCTTTTATTAAGTTTTTCTTTACCACGCACCAACGCAAAATAGGTCATTATGGTGACTTTCCATCTTAACTGGTACAGGAAGACATTTATATTATATGTAATATTATATTAAACATGAATAGGCACCTGAGTAGAACCTCCCAACTGGATAGCTACCTCATATGATAGAATCCTAAGTCCAAGGGTTGCAAGGTTCTTACCAACAGCCATCAAGAGCAATTGGTTTGTAGTCAACAATCCCGACCATTTGGCCATGGATGCCCCAAAGTAAACATTTCAAAAACTAAGAAAAATGCATAATATTAATACTGAAACCAGATATATTTCAACCAGATATATCTACTGTAAACTATCTTGTTATTATCCAACATTAACCGGTTATTCACCTCTGGGGCAATCACTTCATCTTTTATTTTGCTATTTTGCTCCAAAGTTCAAACAAAGCATAATGTGCTGTAGTCAGGTCATCAACCAAGGAAGAATTTGATATTTCTTCAGTCATCAGTGCATGTCCCTGTACTTAGATGATATAGTAACAAACAAACCCTAAACAAATTATTTCTTTATGATCAGCTAGCATACATAAATAGCATTAAGAATTCCCTTAATTAATGTAGAAATCGGTCAATATTGAGAATCCTTAACAAGAAAGTTAAGTGATTGTTTCATACAAGCATTTCTAATATCATTGGAAGCAAGTGATATATTTTCTCAGGATTAAGGACAGCCAAATATAATTTTGAAGCTATTAATAGCAACTTCCATGAGTATCTTCCACTGTGTGTGAATATAAGTACCTGTTTCCACTAGATTCAAGTGTTCTGCACTAGTGCATGTGGGTAACATAGTACATGTGTACTACAGTTTCTACTTAGTGTTTTATTACTACAAGGAACATGATTGTGTACTACATAGTAAAAATGTAGGTATTAGATGGAACAATATAATTGACAGTGTACTACATAGTATGTAGGTCCTAATGGAATGCAACATTACTAAAAATGGAATGCAACTGTACTACATAGTATGTTGGAATATTACTGTGTATTTACTTCATAGTGTGTACATACTGCATGTAACATTACTGTACTACATAAAATGTAGGTACTGCATGGAACATGACCACTACATAGTGTGTACGTACTACATGTAACATTACTGTACTACATTAAATGTAGGTACTATATGGAACATGACTACTACATAGTGTGTACATACTACATGTAACATATATTACTGTACTACATAAAATGTAGGTACTACATAGAACATGACTACTACATAGTGTGTACGTACTACATGTAACATTACTGTACTACATATAAAATGTAGGTACTACATGGAACATGACTAATTCATAGTGTGTACGTACTACATGTAACATTACTGTACTACATAAAATGTAGGTACTACATGGAACATGACTACTACATAGTGTGTACGTACTACATGTAACATTACTGTACTACATAAAATGTAGGTACTACATGGATACTACATAGTGTGTATGTACTACATGTAACATCACTGTACTACATAAAATGTAGGTACCACATGGAACATGACTACTACATAGTGTGTAAGTACTACATGTAACATCACTGTACTACATAAAATGCAGGTACTACATGGAACATGACTGTAAGACAAATGTTTAAGTAACTTCAACTTTTACAGAACAGCAGACAGAATTAATGGCAATATCTTAAGAGATACTTATGGATTTTTCCAGGGTTCCATAGCTTTATGAACATAAATACATAAATACAAATAGAATCTCAGAAATTAGCATTATTCATAGTAGACTATTGACACTGATTTAATTAAATCTATTGGACAGTGACGAGCTAAGCAACATCAAATTCTTAGAGACCATTGAATTCTCACTCTGCTTTTAATCCCAATAATAAATTATGTGCAGACAATGTAAAATTTCTGACACCTAGAGTTTCATATACAAAATGTCTGAAAGTGTAAGCAGTGTTAAAGTCTAGAATATTTCCCTTTTTGTTGGCGTGAACAAATTGGTTAATGAAGCTTTGTATTCATTTCTCACTGTCTTTACCAAATGTAAAGTGATTGTGGCCTTTGATTGCCACCAGAATTGAGCAATTCCTGCACCCACATCTATATAGTCTACTGTTGGTAGCTCAATTTATGTATTTTGATACTCTTTAAACTGGGAATGGACTGTGCCAAATTCAAAGCAGGGCAAAACCATTACAAAAATTTGGTGGACTGTAATGTTAAAGCTCTGTATTAACTAGAACTCCGCGAGTCGGATGTGTCGCCTTGTGAACAATGTAGTTTAGGGGAAATGGCCAGGACAAAAATGAAATATGAAAAATAACAATGGGCAATAAGTGCATAGCAGCAGTTTCTGTACACTGCACTTCTTATCAATAAGATCTATCATTCTATGATGTTTCAAGTCCATAGCTTTCATACTTGAGGAGAAATGACCAGGACAAAAATAAAGTAAGAAAATCAACAAAGGGCAATAACTCAAAAATAAGAAATGCAGAGTATCAGTTCTTATGCACTGCACTTCTTTTTAATGAGAACTATCATCCTATGAAGGTTCAAGTCCATAACTTTTATACTTTCGGAGAAATGGCCTGGACAAAAATTAAGTATGAAAATTAACAAAGGGCCATAACTCAAAAATTAAGAAATGCACAGTACTGATTCTTGTGCACCG